ATATATATATATCATTTAGTGCCATGGATAAATGCGAAGTTGCCTCTCCAGGCCTTTGAATGATCGCGCGGCATTGGTTGCTGAGCCCACAGGACAGTCCTGGGGGGGACTTGGTATATTTATTTTGGCGACTTGCGGACATTCATGTTGACCGAACGTTCAGGTTTATAAAGAAACCACAGTATACACATGATGTCTGCGTTTGGGACATGCTCGCAAACTGTCGCCTCTTTTCTGGCTCACCAAGGGATGTCAGACAATGCGAACGTGGTGTCAGCAGCATGCTTTTCGTTATATTGTAGGTTCACTATTTGCGTTATACAAGTATTTAACAGATTGGCATACTCATTATACACGTATTTAACGGAGGGCCGCCCCTCCATGAATTTGACACTATCCGTTTTGGTCGAAACCACCGGATTGGCATACTCATGATACATGTATTTAACGGAGGACCGCTCCTCCTTGAATTTGACCATGCATCTCATTGGCTCAATGCTATTTAGATCTCACATCTATAGGTACTCACATCTATTAAATTTTACACATCTATAGACATTCACAGCTGTAGATGCATTGGGTTCTGCGCGCGATCATCCGACACCTGATGACTGTGACCTTGACCATGGAGTGCGGCGATGTGGATCTTCCTTCGCCTTCGCAAGGTGCGACCAAAAAGCATGGGAATGGGATTAGCGTGAGCCACAGGGGTTCGTTTGTTGATCCAGTTGATGATAAAGACGGTAGGAAGCTTGTACTTTGTGTAGTTTTTACCATTCCTATAGGTGTGAAGTTTTTGACATTTCCTTTTATTAGTGCATAGCGAGCATTGCCCGGTCATGCGGTGTGGCGAGCATATAGCCCTGCCACGCATCAGGCTACACCCCTGGCAAGCTTCTGGAGCACTACCTGAACACGGGCCAGGTCGCGACTCCCATGGAGGAGATGGACAGCGGCAACGAGAAGGAAAGTGAAGAGAAGAAGATGGTGGTGGGTGAGAAGAATGGAGATGAAATTGAAGAGAAGAAGATGGTGGTGGGTGAGAAGAATGGAGATGAGAAGAAGATGGTGGGTGAGAAGAATGGAGATGAGAAGAAGATGGTGGGTGAGAAGAATGGAGATGAGAAGAAGATGGTGGGTGAGAAGGATGGAGATGAGAAGAAGATGGTGGGTGAGAAGAATGGAGATGAGAAGAAGGAGGGTGCAAACCGAAAGGGTGAAGCTCCTCCATTCCCACCACTCCCGCCCATGCCCCCACCACCCCCCATCCCACCGCCAGCTGACGTGGCGCCGCCGCCATCTGCAGTGCCGACGCCACCGCCGCCAGTGCAGCCGACCAAGAAGCCATCGGAGCCTGTGAAGCCACCAGTGAAGGCATCCGGCCGGCCAAAAGAAAAGAAGATGCCCAAGCCGCCATACCCGCCACCCCCAGCCCCGGCAGCGAAGCTCATCAAGGCGCACCCAAAACCAAAATGGAGGTCCAATGAGTGGGAACGTGTCATCAAGGTCGATGATGATGAGCAGACTGATGACGCATGGGGGGCGTGGAAGGGAGATGACACCAAGATCGACAAAAGCTGGACCATGCCGTCGTGGGGCCATGGTGGCTGGGGCACTCAGTGGCATGACCATGCGGTCAATCCAGGATGGGGCGCTGCCGATGCTGGTGGATGGGGCCCTGGCGCTGGCTCATCGACAGATGGCCAGCAGTGGCAGCGCGCCATGATGACGGCTGAGGGCCAGGGTTGGAGCAAGATTCTGAGCTTGTCTTCAAGTATACACAGTAATTTGCTATTGGTTGTCTTGTTAGATACCTCTCAGTCCAAGATCCAATTTTCAATTCTGTTGTCATCAAGAAAGGTTTTGCTTTTACATCAATGGCCCTTGGGCAATAATCAATTACACAATGTCTAGCCTTTTAGTTTGCCATAGTCCAGCATACATGCACCCATGGACCCGCCCGTTTCCCAGGAATGCATCGATGAGCTGGGGCATGGAGAGGAACAATGACAGCTGCACCATCACGACCGTGGCCAAGGCAGAATGCATGCAGATCGAGAAGTTCCTTGGTAAAACTTAGACCCTCAGTACTATAGAGTAGAACCTTTGCAATGGATAAAATTGGACCCGCAGGTCTCAGAAACTATATGTTGCAGGCGGGCCTTGCTCGCTGCACTGCTTTTGCGGGCAATGCTCGCAGGCAATGACAAAGTGGTCACCGCATTGAAATACTTTTATTTCAGCATCCCACCATATTCACCGCTTACCTTCACTGATTGGCAATCCCTAAAGTTTCATTGAATATACTTCAATTGTTTTCAAGTCATTGTGTATCCATACAGCTGTTTGTTAACCTAACGTTTCCTTGAATATATTTCATTTGCCCAAGTCATTGCAAAACCATATAGCTGTTTAGTACCATGTGGAAACACCAAGGCCGAAGCGCGTGCGAGATGCTTCCAACCGACGCCGTGGAGGCTACAAATATCAGAAGCAGCTGCAGAACCGGATGCGTGAGCAGGAAAGGATTGAGCAAGCCGACCAGATCAGCCAGGCTCTGAACATCATGGGGAGCCTGGCGCGATCCTTGGAGACTGTCTTGGATGAGTGATGCCATGGATGGTAACTAACATGAATTGAAAGGACGATCTACAAAGTGAACTTGTATTTGTTGGTTTGCCAGCGGCAGCTCAATCCAATGGCGTGAGTCCAAACGGCTTGGATCCATGCACCACCTATGAGTGCTGCCTGCATCGGGCGATGGACACTGGGGCAGGGCAAACACTTAAACAACACACAAGATTGCAACACAACATACAGGGCCTCATCATTATAGATTCATGACCTTGATGGCCAATTGTGTTGATTGAATCGACCTCTTTCTTTGGTGTCTATATGCCTGCATGGTGTGTTTCAGTTGCAAGGCACAGGTATGGCACGCCTGGCACGCCACCGCGATGGACTTATAATGACTTATAATGACTTCACTTGGAATGCATTGTGACCTTTGCGTGGTCGGCGGCCATTTTTTTGACGCCTGAGAAATACGATGCATGGGAGCCCACTCACGAGTTTCCAGTTTATGCATTGTGTCAAGGAAAACCTTTTGAACCAATTGGCAT